ACTGAATCTCAACTTCCACATGGAAATGTACTGTCTCTTGGAGGAAGCAGGCCCTGGACACCATGAGTTGCTGGAGGCAAACCAGTTTTTAGCTGGCCAGGAGAAGTATTGTCAGGTCAAAGTGTGTCTGAGGTTCCTGGTTGAATGTGGAGCTGAAAACCGAATCCCACTGTTCACAGGTACAGAACAAGATTCTGGCGAAGACACCCAGTGAGTCAGAGCAAAGGGGGAAAGATAGTTTCCTCCACCTTTGCCCTAAGGCCACCTGTCACTGTTGCCAAAGTGGAAAGTGTCACTGCATCTCCTAGTGGCTTTTTCCTTCAGTAGCACAGGAGGCGTAGAGAACTCATATGGGTCACATCTCAGGAAGTGGCCACAGCTAGAAAAGGGAGGCGACATAAAAAATAAAAATAACATTGAACTGAGGCCGATGGATTGCATTATCACTTGGAATGATCAAGACCTCAAATGACATCGAGGAGTAGTTAAGAATGGAGGAGAGGTGGATAGAGGAAATAATAGAATCTAAAGTGTAGTCCTTTTTCTGGCTGACTTAGCAGATGGGCATCTATTCATGCCCACGCAGTGGGACTTGCAGTGGGCTGATGATTTATGGTTGTTCTGTTTTGTCTAGGTGTCCCCCCAAAGCCTCATGTAGTCATGGGGTGGGCTTCTAGAGTTGCTGATTGATTCGTGGTCCAGTGTTGGGATTATGGGCGTGAGTGCTACACCCAGCTGGGGCTGACAGCCTGAATGCAGCATAAGGCAGGCAGAGAGGCCTGCTCACTGGCTCACTTTTGCTCTTACTGCTTTTGCTGTCCCCCACTGCCATGAACTGTTGCCTCTCAGCCATGCTACCTGCCTTAGAGCCCGCTGATTATGGACCGAAACCTCCACGAACTGGGAGCTAAAGAAAGCTGTCTCTCTTTAAGTTTGGTTGTTGGGTATTTGTCTCAGCAACAAGAGAAAAGTAACTGAGACAGCGCACATGTCCCCCTTATCAGTGCCTTCTGATAGACACCTTGCTCAGATCCTCCTTTTCCTTTCATGTCCTTCTGTGTGCCCTGAGACTCCCCAACTCTGTTTATCTATTCTCAGGCCCAACTACACATTTTAAAGCACCTGTCAGAGGTCGGCGAGATGGCTCAGTGGAATAAGTGCTTCCCTGGCAAGCACAAGGGCCTGAGTTCAATCCCCGGTTCCACCAAAAAAAAAAAAAAAAAAAAAAAAAGCACCTGTCAGACTCAGATATGATAGCTACCCAGGACTGCAGATGTCCCAGGACATTTTCAGTGGGATTCCTTTGGAGTCCAGGCTTCCACAGGTTGGAGCCAGGGCAAAACTTAGGGCTGGGACCCAGACCCAGGCCTGCTGACTATCAGTGCAGTGAAGGACCCCTGGGCAGGGTGCTCTGCATCGCCCACTTCCGCATCAGGAACACAAGGGTAAAGATGACTGCCTTCCAGAGCTGCAGGGAAGGACAGCTAATTGCTGTCTGCGGGGCACACTGTCGCAGCACAACAGAAATGCTAGAAAGAAAGGTCCACCGAGGAAGATATAAGCCAGAAAAAAGAATTTTAATGATTAGCTTGCAGGAGACTAGCTCAAAGGACTTGGTATGAGTTTATGTTTACGAAGGAAGGGAGGTTGGAATTTCAACAAAGAGGAATTTAAGTGATAGCGTTATATTATCTGGTTCATTCACTCAATAGCATTTATACAGAAAGCCTACTAGACATCAAGTGCAGCGCTAGGAACAGGGAGATGCCCCTGCCCAGTTCATCTGTGGCTGCCCTAATCTCCAGTGTGACAGCATTTGGGGATCAACCCTAGACGGAGGTAGTAGAGTTCAAGGAGGTCATGATAGTAAGCCACACCATGATAGAGACACAGAGAGCTTGTGCTTTCTACACTGGAGGCCAATGAGAAGGTGGCTATCTGTATACCAGAAAGAGAGTCCTCACCAGGAGCTGAGGTGGTGGGCACCTCGATCTGAAGGCAGCTGCATTCATCACTGTACCACCAGTGCCACAAGGCACCTTGACCTTGAACCTTGAGTCTCCAGAGCTTTGAGGAATGTTGCCTACCCAAAGGGTGGCATCTGTTAAGGCAGCCTGAGTGAAGACACAGGAGTCATATGGAAACATGCATACTGCTAGAGTAACTCCAGAAACTTGTTTCAAAAAAATGGTATATAAATCTCTGAACTAAAGTGGAATTATAAGTCCCCAAGACACATGAATAGGGAAGACCCTTAGTTCTAGGGCAGGAGCAAAAATTTAGCAATCTCTTCAATACCAAAGAATCTAATGTGAAACCTCTACAAATAAACAAAAAGAAAATGGACTTGAGCTAAAATATGAAGAATTTCAATTGGATATGAAAGATATTTTCCCTTCAGTCCATCAACTGGCAACTAGAGAAAGACTGCTAGACATCCAAACAAAAACTGTGTGGTGCTCAGAACGAGAGGGAGAGACTGAGACAACGGTCAGGCCACGACTACCAGGAGCTCCTCTCGAGCCTGGGAACAGTGCTCAGCACAATCAGAACTAGAATCTAGGCAGGTATGGTCCCTGCCTCTCCTAACACCATGCATCCTAGTACTACAAGAACTGCTGAATACAGAAGTCACTTCACGTGGAATTACTGAAAAGACATCTTTCTGGAATATTCCATATGTGGCTTTGCTAAAGGTGAGCTGAAAGTCACATACTCTGGCCAGGTCCTTTCCATTCTTGGATTCAGTCTCACTTATTTTTGGTATAAACTTCTTTTATTATTACTATTATTACAAAGATTTCCTGACAATAAAACATAACGCTGACCATTAAGTAATAGGCTTTATTTATGTCTCCCTTCAGCCTCTTTCCTACTCCATGTAATGTGACAGAACCCAGTGTGAAGGGAGACAACCAGGACCCAATGGGGCCTGGTCCCTGCATGTGCCAGGTGCTGGCGAAGGGAAAGCCTCCCTGACTGTGGCCTCTGAACTCTGGGGTGCCTGCTGCTTCTCTGGCCTGAGTCGGGCTCTGACTTCTTCAGTCTCAGACCTACGACCTGGGTCCCAGGAATGGCAGCTGTTAGGACCCAAGTCAGGAGAAAGGCGAGGAGAGCAGGCAGATGGCCAGGTGGCCAGCTGATGGGTGCCCTGGATGGATGCAAGCGGGAGAGAAGATGGCTAGAGGGCCTTAAGAATTCAGGCTGACGCTGAACAGGACTGTGCAAATGCTGTGCCAGTTCAAGGACACACCACCCGGAGCTCCCAGCCCAGGTCTGCTGGTTACTAATGAGAAGACCTCTAACATACCACGTAACACTGGACAGTCTGTGTCTTCATGCGGAAACTGGATGGGTGTCTCACGCCCCTGTGGTATGGTGCTTAGAGAACAGTAGGCGCAAAGCCTGTGCTCCAGAGCAGGCACTCAGCAGGCGCCTAATAAAAGCAGTGGCTAATATCAGCATACCTGTGACAGATGAAAAATTCTGACTCTAAAGTTGGCTTCCAGGTATCATCACAGCACCCCAAACAGGTGATCATTAAAATGGGCACCAGTGAGCATCAAGTCTCACAGTGACAAGTGCCCTGTGCCGTGGCACTGTTTCTTCTGGTTGGGCACAGTGTCTTTTAGATGGGCCCTGCCTCAGTCTATTCAGAAAGCTGTAACAACACGCCATAAACTGCAGAGATTATAAGCAGCAAAAGTCTGTATCTCACAGTTTTGGACTCTGCAAAGTCCAAGATCAAGGTAATATATAGCTCAGTGACATAAGTCCCTGCCTGGCAAGCACAAGGTCCTGAGTTCAATTCCTGGTACCACCAAAAACCTGGCACTGTCCGCAGCCCATTTATAAGGGCACCAGTCCTACTCATGAAGGTCCCAGTGGCTTCAAGTATGGGTACTGCACATGCTTGAATGTAGTTGGGCGGAACTGGGGATTGAACTCAGAGCCTTGCGCTTGGCAGGGAAGTGTTTATTCCACTGAGCCATCTCCCCAGCCCCTTCAACGTGGAAGATTGACTATCACTTCTGCCTCCAGAGGAGGAACCCCACTTGTGGATCTCAGACTAAGTAGGCTCCCCGGATGACCAGCAGAGGGCGCCAGTGACCAATACATGTCTCAGGCGACGTGAGAGAGGCTACAACTTCCCACAGCGGAGGATTTGCAAAGGTCGCTGCTTGCCTCCTTAGGGACACAGGGGAAGCGCGCTGTCAGGCGCATGCTCGGTGGAGCTGTAGGAGACTGTGTTCCGGTACGAACAGTCAGGCAGAGACGCGCAGGTGCTTTGGGCCAGATTTAGATGTTTGACTCTTCGGCAGGTTTAAGATTTTTATGAATCCCAATTTTTTCTCCAAAGCTAGCCTCATCAGTTGGTTCTGCAGACTTCAGAAACCTGACCAAGGTTCTGACACATATTCCTCCTACACAATTCCCCTTTGGGTACTGCAGTAATGACTAAGGAGCCGTGTGTGCTCATTGGTGCTGACCCCAAAACATACTCCCAATCCTCTTGGCGCCCTAGTAGCCCAGCACGAATGAAGCAACGCACAAACACATCTGCTGACAACACTCACGCTGAACCATGTTCAGCTGGCTGACTGGAAAGTTCTGTAGTCCTGGAGAGTTACTCAGCAGCCTTCTGGAGGGTCAGACATGAGGAAGAGAGAGGACACTCCAAGAGACGTTCCTGAGAGGGCCTTACTGGTCACAAAGTTGTCTTTGCCAGGGAAACACTGCCTAGGTCCTGACAGTGTCCCTATTGATCTGTTACACTGGAAAGTTATGCAATGTAGTTCCGAGAACTGGGTTTCCTTGGAGTTTAAGGCCTTTTTATGTTACATGGCTCCCTCTTTTTCCTCAAAAACAAGTTTAATTGGCATTAAGTTTCTTGAAATCAGTTCTGATAAGACTTGATTTTAAAGTTTGTTTTAATCAAGAATGGATTCTAAAGGTCAGCCTGAACTATATAGTGAGACCCTGTCCCTCCCCCCAACAATAAGTCTGCTTTAAAGGTTTCCAAAGCTGTACTATGGAACTTTCCAGCAAGTCAGGGGTTAAAAAGGATAAACAACTACCAGGCAGGCTAACCATCACTTTTGGCTATGTAAAGGTCTCATGATCTGATTTGCAGTTACAGTTTATAGGAAGTTTAAATAAACTCTGAAAATAGATTTGTGATACATTTACATCTAATGTACTAGCACAATGTGGCAACTGAAGAGATACTTATTTAGAGTAAATTACTCATTTAGAGTAAATATCTATTTTGATAGAAACAGAGCACCCTTGCTGGAAGACACTGGAGAAGGTGTCACTGTTCACAGTGTGCAGCCCCCTCCAGCTCACTTTCAGAAGCAGGTGTGTGTTCACATAATTGTCTTCAGAATCTCCTTACAAACGTACTTTTCTGTAAAACTTAGGGGGGAGGCATTACAGAAGAAAGGAATCCTTTCCTAAACTTCCTGGCCTTGTGCTTGATTCCCCTTGGGTCTCGTTTCTTTTGGGCCTTAAGCATGTGAGCAAATGCTAATTTCTGCAGTTACTACTAAAATAGAAAATATATTCTAACAAGCACTTCAGGGCTGTGTATATGATTTTCCCCATGTTTACAGATTTCCAACTGAGAATGATGATGTCCTTTTACCAGAACAAGGATGCTGTTGGATTCTACTTCAGGGATGTTCAGTAAATACTTTATGATGTTATAGGAAGGAAGAGAGCTCTGCAGTGAGAATGGACTTCACTGTAGTTAGCAACAAGGAGACAACTCTGTAATTCCTTCTTGGACAGAGAGGATGTGTAGCCAACCCGCAACTATTGTAAGCCCAACATAGCCAGTTACTGAATCCTTTCTTGAGCAGGAGAGGTTGTCAACAAGTGGGCCAGGGATGCAGTTCCAGCTCTTGATACTGATATTCAGTCAGCACACTATTGTATCTTACAGGCAACCATTCAATGCAACAAAACTGAGCCTCAACTGTATTTCAGAAAAAATTTGCAAAAATAGTTTGACTTTATAAAAACAAGCCAACCAAAAAACCTAACTAGCTGTGTAGCAGAAAATACCCGCTCCACCCCAGCCAGGATACTTCAGTTTGTTAGTTTCCCAGGGAATAGTTCCTGTTCCATTTCGGGTTCCTCCTGTCTCTTAAGAAACAGTTGGTCACTGTGAAGCACATTGAATCAGCCATGACCCCTCTGACAAGCCATTCTGCCTCTGCACTTCCTGCTTGCTTATCCCATCTAAGCCCTGGACCGCCAGAGCTCAGGGCCTGCTATTCTGGGAGTCAGCCCAGTCTGAGCCTGTCCACACAAATCTGGTTCCAAATTCAGGGCGTCCTATTGGTGTTTCTATTTGCTATTGCATCTGTACTCAGAGGCGTGTAAAATTGAAATGTGGTGACTTCACAAATTGACCCCCAGTGTAAGAGCTGTAGAGGAACAGGGACATCCAGCCAGAAAGTCTTGGGTGGAATGTCCTGGTGTGTATGGCGCAGACCCTGTCTCAAAAAATCCAAAAAACCCCAAATGAAAAATAACAACAACAAAACCCAAGGTAATTCTAAAATTTCCTGAGCACAGGAGGAGAAAATCTGAAGGAGGGCTGAAAGGAAATTACATTACCTTTCTGGGCACCGCCCTCCCCAGGGCCACACCAGGTGTGGAGCAGAAGAGCCCGATGTTCACTCCAGGAGTGGCAAAAGAGGACTTGTCACTTGCCACGGCGATGTCACAGCTGGCCACCAGCTGACAACCAGCAGCTGTGGCCAAGCCATTGACCATGGCAATGACGGGGACAGGGTGGTTCCGGATCAGCATCATGACCTGCAGGAATACACATGCCACTGTACTTCCCTGCGGAGGCAGAAGTCATCCTCACACCTATTACTTTATTGTTTCTCTTTTCAGAGCTGTTCACAGGTCGTAGTTCCTCAGAGTATGTGAAACACACACACACAACACACACAGACACACACACACACACACACACACACACACACACAGAGCACCAACTTGTACTACCTACCTACCTACTGCAGACCACACTTTATCATTTGGGCTTTCTCAGACCCCAATAAGGAAGAAACCCCATTTGGAACAAGACAGGAAGCTCAAAAAGAGGGGGTTACCTGCTCAGGCCCCCTGCCAGGCTGGCTTGGGGGACTTGGAGGTGACATTCCTCTTGCCTGTTCCCCAGCACCCCACTGAGGATTAGTGAGGAGTTTGTCTCAGGAGAGCAAGCAAAACCCTTCACAAATGGTTCTGTTCTCCCTGCGCCATGCGATGTCCTTGGGTTAAGATTCTGAAATTAGTACTTGGGGCTCCCTTGAAAAATTAAGATGCAAAAGGGACTTGAAGGCAATTTCCTCAGTAATTACTTCTCAAATTACCACCACGAATACTCTCTCAATTCTATTAAGTTAAAATGGGGAGGGGGGACACCCCGCTGTCATCAAAATAAACAAAAATTTAAAAACAGAACCGTTGGCATTGAGAAGAGAGATGGAAATGTGTTCGCGTGACCCCGACTGCCATAAATTGCTGGAACTTTCACTTGTCTTTGCAGCTTAGTTTTTCATGACACTCTAAACAGATTGTGTTGCTATGGCAACTTCAATTTCTAAATTATTGCTCTTTGAACCCTGCCAGGGAGGGAAGTAAGATAGAAACTACATCTGGGTTTTTTCCCAAGGCAGCAATTCAAAGAAAAATGACCTTCATTGATTTGAAGATTTTGCCTTAGGAAACTTTTCTTTTATACTCATAAACATTTGATATTTATCAGCTTCTCTTCTAAAATAAGCAGTTATATGGTTAGGCGCTGCATAATGACATTTTAGTCAAGTACAAACTGGATATTTGATGGTAGCTCCATAAGACTACCATGGAGCTGAAAATGTCCTGTCATCTGGCAGCCTGCGTGCCACCACGCTGCAAGGCCCTGCTCATTCGGGGTGGTGACCTCAAGTGAACACACCTACTGCACTGCCAGTCTTATAGAAGCATGAGATGATGACGATGCATAGTCCCTGATGATGGAAATAAGCGACGAGGTTACTGGTTGATGTGTTTATTACACCATACATTTTTGGGGCTGGCGACCGCATTCAGGGCCTTGCGCACGCTAAGGACGTGTTCTCACGGAGACATGCCTTGGCTCCTGCACTATTGTTTTGAGACAAAGTCTTGTTATGCAGTGCAAGCTGGCCTTGAACTTGCTTATGTAGCCGAGGCTGGCCTCAAACTCAGTGATCCTCCTGCCTCAGTCTCCCAAGCGCTGGGACACAGGCACATGTCACCATGCCTGCCTGCTACTTTAGTACATTTTATGTTGCCTAATCATGAAGTAACCTAACAACATATTTTTCAGAGACTATCCTGAATATTAAGGACATATCACTATATATTTAAGGGTAGTATATTATATTCTATTACACTCTTTACTTTTCTGAGAGGGAGGGTCATCTTTTGTCTTTTAAGAATCTGGTAAATGTTAATGACCCTCCCCTCAGAAGAATGCACACACACACACACCCCTCCACAAAACCACTCATGGATTTATGAAGTTCCCATCTCCTAGGGAAAGGTCACAAGAGTTCAAGATGGCGCTTATTCCCAGTGAAATGGAAAAATAAGGGAATAACTAATCAGACCTTCAAAAGTCTTGCTGCAAAGAAAGGAAACATTTGATGCTGAGGATTCCTCCGTCCCCCAGGAACTGGGGTTATGGATGAAAGCCCACAGGGCCAGCGATGTAGCTCAGTGGCACAGCACCTGCCTGGCAAGCACAAGGCTCTGAATTCAATTCCTGGTATCTCCCCCCCAAAGAAAAAGCCTACCAACTGAGATTGGAGTTGAATGGTTCACGTGTCCTGCCTGCCATCTATGAGGGGCTAGTATTTAAAAAGTTATGATAAAAGCACATTTAGGTTACACAGTACATATTCAACAGCATTACACATGCTTATACTTTAGATACAGGAATTCTGCTTCTAAAATAACATTCGAAATAGATAAAAAGCTCTATGGTTTAAGGTGCTCACCAAATCATTATTTTGCAGTAGTTTTTAAAAACATCTATAAATACAAGTGTAAGAGACTCAGTAGACGGCTGCTGCAGTGCAGGGGAGAGTCTCGTGGGATGTTACAGGCCTGGTGCTCAGGCGATGCTACCAGAAGGCGGGGGAACCTGTGGGCAGGGGCCATGGTAGGAGGCCCTATAGCCATGGGGGCTGTGTTCTCAGAAGGCACCTTGGGAGCCTGGTGTCTTCCTGTCTCTCTGCTCCATGGCTCACGATGTGAGCAGTTTGCCTGGCCCTGTACTCCCTGCTGTTGCTACCTAGTGCCCTCACCAGGGCCCAATGCAATGGGGCTGCCCCTTGCACTTGAGTCTCCAGTACTACTAGCTAAACAAACCTTTCCTCTTCATAAGTTAATTGCCTCAGGTGTTTTGTTGAGATGATATGAAGATAATTTTCTAGCAATGCAAACTAAACTGTATCGACTTAATCGAACATAGCATTATTAATAAAATGACATTTTCCTAGGGAAATACCAGAATGGTGGTGCAAGGCTTGTGCAGTGTTCTGGAGCCAGGCTGCTGGAATCTGCTGCTGCCCAGTCTGTGCTTCCTTATGCCTTATTCTAGCAAGCCCCCGACTCCTTAGTTTTACATCTGTAAGACGGGCATAATATTAACACCAACTTTATAGAACATAACTATTACATAATTTAATATGTCCAGAGTGCTACAGATATTAGTGGGCACAGAGATTATGGCATTCAGTGCTATAATCATAGTGTTATACACAATCCTACACTAAAAAAACCCAAATTGTACACTATGATCATACTAATACGATTCAAATAGGAACATAGAAAAAATTATTAGAAATAAATTAGCAAAGAATTATAGTTTTTCTGGGTGGTATGATTATAGCATTGCATTAGTGATTTTATTTTTCTTCCTTTTATTTGTCTAGATCTTCAAAATTTTCTGTAATAAAATCTTTTTTTTTTTTGGGTAGTACTGGGGATTGAACTCAGGGCCTTGCACTTGTCAGGCAAGCACTTATTCTACTGAGCTAGCTCCCCAACCCCCTTATTTTCATAATTTATAATATTTTAAATAAAGTTAGTGAGAAGCTTGGAACAGACAAAGGGAACGTAGATAACAGACATGCCAGAATGATCAAGCCCTTGACACGAACCGGCTATGCCTTCTATTTCACTGTCCCGAATTAAGCACTGTTTTCTGGTTATGGCTACTCTGAAATGTGACATAAACAAAACTCCTTCCTCACCCCACAGGAAGGAATTACTGAGGATTCTAAGTTATTTCTAAAATTAAGCAACTCTGTCCCACTGCCATTTATCTGCTGAGGTGTAAGAAGAGAAGGAGTCTCCTGGAGTTTCCACCTTCAGCAGGGTACGAGGAGAGAGGCAAGGACACACAGGTCTCTTATGTCAGCACCGTGCGCACCACTAGTGTGTCACTGCCCCAGGAAGTCACTTCAGCCCTTTTCTAACCAAGTACTTATCATTCTTTGTCCTAGTCCTAATTTAAAGATAGCAATAAGCAATGTATTAACCATTACCCGCCTATCATCTTGTTTTAAAATTGTTTTTTCTTTAAAATAAAAATTTCTAAAATTACCACTTTTATTTATAAATATTGTTTCTTTCCCATTAACAGGGTTGTTTTAGTTTTTAAACTTTAAAGATTATCATAACCATAGATTCCTTCTGTCTATAGAGATATACATTTCTACCTTTTACTTCTTACTCAGAACATTTATGTCAAGATAAACCCTGCAATGCTGATGCCAACTATGAGTGCCACTGTATATTTTACTTCCAATAGCAGATTGTGGTTTTTTGTTTTTGTTTTTTTTTGTTTTGTTTTTGTTTTTTTTTTGGCAGAACCGGGGATTGAACTCAGCCCTTTACGCTTGCCAGGGAAGCACTTATTCCACTGAGCCATCTCCCCAGCCCTAAACATATTAGCTCAGCCTAGAAGCAGATGTTTACAATTCTTGTTTATCTTTGGCAGAACTGGGGATTGAACTCTGGCCCTTGCACCTGCCAGACAAGCGTTTATTCTACTGAGCCATATCCCTGACCCCAGAGCTACATTTGAATTTGTTTGTTTGTTTGTTTGTTTGTTTGCTTCCCTGGAACCAGGGATTGAACTCAGGCCCTTGCACTTGCCAGGGAAGCGCTTATTCCACTGAACCATCTCCCCAGGCCCCTGTATTCACCTCCTACAGGTCAAACTAAGTCATAGCTTGGATGAAGGATCCATGAGTGGTCATGCACAGAGTTTCCAGGAGCTCCATTGTAGCTAGATCTTGTCCGTGAGAACTCATCTGTAAACTAGAAAGCCAACTGAATGATAGTCATTTTCGGCTTGCAGTGCTGACTGTCATCCACGCTTACCTCGGAACAGGTCTGAAATACTTCAGTGTGGTAATCACGCCCGTGCTCTTCTGTTAGTTCCTTTAAATCATGTCCAGAAGAAAACACAGGGCCCTCAGCTAGCATGTTCCCATTGAGAATAAAAAAGAAAGAGATGTCAAACTTCACAGATAGGCCGTTCATTTACTTATTTATTGAACAACTTTACTAACCAGGCACATATTTAGGCTGTGGACACTTAGAGAGAAAGCTAAGGGCTCAGCTTTGATAAGAACAACTCTAGGTTGCCTGGAAAGGCACAGATAGAGCACTGTGGTGAAATGCCAAAGCCCTTGTCTCCTAAGAGCGCACTGTGGAGACCCATGAAAATAAGCAAGTGCCTAAGGAAATCCTCCATGACCAAGGTGAAGGCTGTTTTCTTTCTTTTCTCTTTTCTCTTTTCTTTTTTTAATTTTGGACTGCATCTGGCCTGACTGTTTTTTTGCAGAATCGGGGTTTGAACTGAGGCCCTTGTGCTTGCTAAGCAAGTGCTTCATTCTACTGAGTCGCTCCCTAGCCCTGCATCTGGCTTGAGAGTGTGCATCCATGAGGGTCTCTGGAAATGCACCATGCCTTTGGCACTGCCTCTGTCACTTAGCTCACAAGGAGGACCATCCACAGGGGTTGAATCTGGAAAATCGGAGTATGAGGAGAACCTAGGTGCCACCTGGCTTAAGCTCTTTAGTTTACAAAGGAGGGAGCTGAGAATGTGGCTCCTGCCACTGTCATCCACAACAAAGGTCATCCTTCCAATAAACCGATAACACTTTTTCATATTTCTCCTTCTTTGTGGTCATTTTGATGGGTAACAGCATCTTCTGTTTTGCAAGTAAGAAGTGGTGCAGCTAAGAAGTTAGAGACCTCTGCTGAGTCCAGCTTGCATTTCGTGTGGCTGCTGAATTCTACTCTTTCTAATTTCTTTTCCCTCTGCCATAGAAAGTAGTTGAACGTCTCTGTTTGCTAAGATGGTGACCTTCTGAGGATCGGCTCTTGGGCTTTAATTCACAAAACCAAGCATCACAGGGCGTTATTATGCTTTTCTGAGGGTGTTTGAAAATGCTGATGTTACTATTACTTATGCCCCCAACAGCATCACAGGAAAAGATAATTCCTGAATAACCCATATTGGAAAAAGAGCACGGGAAGAGGTGGGCAAAATATAGCATACTTTTTTGGGCAGCATTAAAGACAATGCTGCAGAGATCAAACGTACAGCCTGAAAAGACAAACCAATCCAATGCTCAGACAACCATTTCCTAGCTGATTATATGATTTACCAAAAAGATTATTTATAAGGTCCATGAAGAAACTCTACTTTTTTTTTTTTTCCATTCTAGGGAACCAACTCAGGGCCTCATGCCTGCTAGGTAAGCACCCGAGCAATATCGCTGCACTCCACGCCCTGATGTGCTGGTTTTAATCAGAAAACAAACATAGCAAAGTGTGGCAATTTCTAGGATCTAACAAAAAACAGGACTCACTTTCACCATCTAGTATTTGGTGCTACAATTTCCACCGTTAACGGTGATGATAGGTGATGATACTAAGTTCCCAGTGACATGAGTTTTCCTTAACAAAAGTCCTTCAGAGGAGCTTCGAAACAGCTTTCCAGGATGAGAAAGAATTCCCCAGTTAACCAAAGACTTTTGAGGAAACAAAAAGGATAAATGCTCTAGGGATCAAGGTCACATAAATACCTGAAATGACAATGACTCTCAGGTCTTTGCTTTCAGCTTCCTGAAGAATATCAGTTTGGAGGGATTTCAGCATTCTGAGTGACAGCGCATTCCTCTTCTTTGGATCGCTCAGGACGATGGTCCTGTGGAGAACATTTTATAATCCCTGGGTCATACACCCGACAAAACAAGTGAGGACCCTGCAATTCTTTTCTAATTTGGGGCTATTTGAAAACCCCCAGAGAAGAGAATTTCTTAGTGCTTAGTGCCAATTTAGAGGGTCCATCAGCTCTCTGGAGTCACAGCTAAGTCAAAACAAGAAAAAGACAGCCTGAAACGCAGGCTGGCTTTTCTCTCTTGTCCCTGGATTTGTTTCTTCTTTTTTCTACATTTGCTGTCAGAAACATGACTGCCACCCCCGCAGAAAGGCCAAGTCACAGCAGTTCCAAAATCATCTCTGTCCACAGAGAATGAGAGTTTTCTGTGACAGCGGCAGGAGCCACAGGAATCGGGCAAACAGTGCCTACTACCTTCAACTTATTTCCTGGTGCTATTCTTCAGAATAAGGTTAGGAAAGGAGCCAAGAATGAAAATACTCCCCTAACTTTCCTTCCACCCACCCAAGGAAAAAGCAGCCAAGGGACAGCTGCCAATGTGCACATATGACAGCACTTTTTCAAAATCTCTTAGAGGGCATCCTGTTATTCTGCAAAATAATTCTGTCTGAGAATGGGATGATGTATGAAGAACAAAGGACAAAGCCATACAACAAGAGGGATCCTCTGGACACAGCATCTTGCAAAATGCTGGCATGGAAAGGCTGTTCACTATTTTAAAGCATCCCACACACTGAATAAAACACCCCATATTGTCATTTTATTGCCTTACACAGAAATGTCTTATTTTTGCTGTTATAAAAAAGGGGCAATGAACCAATGCCAGATTATTGTTATGGATTTTATATATTTCCTATCAGTTTCCACCTACAGTGCTTTCTGCCTGCCTTTCTCATCCTTTTTTGAATTGGATATTCCTATTGCTACGTAGTCAACTCAGCTTCTCCGTGTGTAACACTGTGCCACAGGCTTCTGGAAAACAATTTGGATGGCTGAATTTATTTCTGTGCAATAAGAATAGCCACTTTCTTTGGAACACCCTTTCAATTTTGCTGCAGATTTCAGGTGGCTGTGATATTGCTTTGCTTCTCATAAACATGTTCTTTCATAAATACAAACATTACTTGTGGCTGATCCGCTGATAGACTTGGCACCTCTATCTGGGAGAGCAATGGTGGTGGGGAGAGACCTGCTTACAGCCTTTCAGTAGAATAATAAGTGTGCCTGCTGTGGCCAGTATAAGACCTGCCATCCCATGAGTGACACATGTCTCAATGAAATCCTAAGGCCCAAGGCATAATTTTGTAAAAGTTCCAGCTGGACCCAGGCATGGTGGCACATGGCTGGAATCTCAGAATGTGGGAGGTTGAGGCAGGAGGATAACAAGTTTGAATCCTATCTGGGCAACTTAGTGAGACCTTGTCTCAAAATAAAAAAATAAAAGGGCTAGGAATGCAGCCCTTTTAGAGGCTGGTGGAGTAGCCCTTGGTTCAGTACCCAGGAACTAACACATATACATGTACACACACAAGACCTGGGGAGCCCTTGCTATGTGGCATTTATCTGTCCCTTGGTGTGCTTCATTAATCCTCTGGTGCACACATTACACACTCACGGTTGGGTGTTCTTTTGTGAGTTCACTTTTCAGCCCTGTATACAAGCTTCCATTCCCACCTCTCCATGGAAACTGTTCCTATTGGTCACCAAATCCACTGTCCATCTGGAAACACATTCCTCTGCCCCCAAGTTTTCTATCTTTCTCTGGCCACCTCTTAACTTCTTTCATGGGCTTCCCTTCTGCCATCTCCTAACTCTTAGAAGCCCTGAGAGTTCTGTCCCTTGCCTTCTGCCTCTATATGAAACTCTTCAAAACTTTCCCACCTGCCTTTGTGTTGACTGCTCCCTCTATGCTGCCAACTCTCAGACACTAGCTTGAGCCCTGGAGCTGTGTTCCCTCAAATGTCTCCTCAACTGCTCCACAGAGCCAACCCTAGGGTATCTTCCTCCTTCTCCCATGCTTGCCTCTCCCCTTGTCTTACCTCAGCTGCCCAAACCAGAACCTGAAAATCATTTTAGATTTCTCTCCTTTCTTATTTCACTGGTCATCAAAACCTGTTAATTATCTCTCCTAAAAATCTCACTGGTCTGAACTCTCTCAATGGCTGTCATGGTTCAAATGATGTGATGCCTCAAACAAAGAGTATCACCAACACCAATGAACCAAAAGGGAAATCTCCTTCAGTATGAGGCCACCACCAGGGTCTACGATGTACATGTAGAAGCAACAGCTGGTCCCTATAAATTCCCTGGTGAAGTATGTGAAGACTATCACTGTAAAGCATGAGAAGGTCTGTGAACAGCAGTCATTCTACATAGGACACATTCACATGTCTGTTATTGGATTAAAGACAAAAATAGTACTTATATTTTCACAGCTAACTACCACCACAAGGGCTTGAAACCACATCTTTGTTATAGTATCTATCTTAGACCCAGTGGCAGTGCGCTGGGATGGGACCATAGAGTAGAATCCCCTTCATGAGCAAAGGGACCTTCCTCACTCCTGGTGATCCTATCCACTGGCTCCGTGGCCTTGGACAAGGGGCCATCTCTCTGAACTTGACTCCTCCACGTGAAGTGGGGTGAGGTTATCTATCCTGCAGGCTAAAGAATGAGGGATAATGAATGCAGAGTTCCGGGCTTTGCACTTAATTCACAGCCAGTTCCATTACGTGACTGCATTATTGCCGCAAGGAACAGCTTGGTACAGGGCTGCTTAAAGTGACCCAGCTGCTCAAGCCCACCCACTGAGATCCTAACATAGCAATATGCCAAATGCTGAGCTTCCAGTCAGACCTGTAGACAGGTTTACAGAAGTAGGACTGCTCTTAAAAATGGCAAGTAGGCCCCTCTGTGGGCTTTGTGGTGCACAGCCCTGTTCTGGCTCTCCTCCTGTGGTCTCCCTAAGGATGGAAAAGGAGTCCACAAGGAACAGAGCCAGCCCCCTTCAAGCCCTGCTGCAGCTACTGAGACCCTGGGCTCCCTGCAGTGGGCACCCCAGCCCAGGGACTTAGAGCAGTTGTGTGTAGGGAGGAGACAGCATATGGGCTTACTGGGACAGTTGCAAACCTGCCTGCTAAGATCCTAGTAGAAGAGAGAAAGAGGGGGTGAGGAGGTGGAGGTGGTGAGAGGGGCCTTGGAAGAAACTGAAAAAGCTGCAGGCTGGGCTATGGAGTGCCTAGGAGTCTGCAGTTTGTACATTCAAACATGATGGCCTTCCAGGTCGGAGTGGGAGAAGACAACACTAATAGATAGCTTGAGTCATGTCTTAAAAACTGAACAGACCTGCTTTTGTATTTCGTACCTTTGTGCTGACCTTGCCCAGGCCAGCCAAAATCAGCATGGATCATACCAGCTAAGAGCCCTCTCAACTGTATTGCTCCACCACTTGGCTTCCAGTTGGTGTGTTGCTGTGTCTTTAAGGCTTTTAGATTCATGCAGAAGGGCAGAGCTCAGGGAGGCCTGTCTTTAATCCTATTTGTTGGCCTGCCACCATGCCCAGGCCAACCCTGCACTTCTGGGCTTGGGCACAGAACAGGTCAGCTAAGCCTGCTCTTCCCCCTGCAGCCAGGCATGGAAGTGAGGGGCTTGGGCTCTCCTCTTGGGTAGGGCTTTGCGGAAGGGCTTGGTACCTGAGGGCACCTGACAGCTGTCCACGCCAGCCTCAAGGTCCACCAGCTACAACACCCGGTTGACGTGAGGACTCAGGGGGCGCTGGGCTCTTCTAGGGCATTCCACTAAGGCCACGCAGGTGTCACGTGCTGCCACGCCAGGCAATGGGCACCTGTAAACTCAGTATGCAGGAATTCCTCTCTCAAGAGATAGGTCAGTCCCATTGGGTCAAAGGTGGGGAGAAGAGAAAACTCCACCCTCCTGGCGCGCGTTGGGGCGGCCCCTGGCCACCTTCCTTCTGTACCCCGTCCCCGGACCCCGGGAACCTTCGCTGGCCAGGCTGACCTGATGCCGTCCCGTTGCCGCGTGCTGGTGGGACGAGCCTCTGACCGCGCGGATCCCCCAGAACTCTGGCTGCAAAAAACAGCGGGGAGCTGGGCCCCCAGGCTGCGCTGGAGGTAGCCGTACTGTGTAGCCGCCCAGGCCCGCAGGCCCGCCAGGGTGGCCATGGCCGAGGACGCCGGGCCAGACGCCGCCGGGTCCCGTTGGGCCACGGGCTGGTGCGCAGTGAGCCGGTGGTTATCGAGACCCGCACGCAAACACCAGGCAAGACCAGGCGCGCCGGCCGCAGAGCCCCCCGGAGCCCGCCCTAGGCTAGACTGAGCGCCACCGCCAGGACCCAGGCCCCGCCCGGACACAGGCCCCGCCCCAGGTGGCCCCCGTTCTCCGCAAAGGCCCTGCCCCGCCCCGCCCCGCTCCGCCCCGTCCCGCCCCAAGGAGCAGCCCCGCGCTAAGGAGCCGCCCCAGCGAGCCCTCCCCTGAGCTGCGTGCTCGGGTGACCCTGGAACTGCACTGCTGACCGCATGCACTCCTGGAGAGAAGGGCTCAAAGCCCGCAGTGCAGTTGTTAAGTTTAGCAAGCTTGTGCGTTTAGGAGGGGAGATACCGGGTTATCTTGTTTCTTTCCGCATAAACACCGGGAATGTCCCGGATGCACAGGTGGTCTGGAATGCACTGTTACAAATCACGTAGACACCATCCACAGGAAACCTCAGCTCTGCGGGCTAGGTCTCCTAGGCAGAGCTTTCACTATTGAGTGCTCTGTACTTCTCATCCACTTTTCCCGAGTGGCTTGCATCGAGAAGGAGCTGGAGCCCTTTGTGAGACCTCAGTGGCCGACAGAAGACTGCACATTCTGATTTGGAAAACTCAGGGGGGTGAAAATATCCTTGCTGCTGTTCACTGGTCATTTCCTGCAAGTGTCTAACTCCCGAAGTGCGCGGATTTGTAGGGGGCTTGCACCAAATGGCCCGGGGGCAGGATCTTCCCTTCTCTCAGGGAGATACCATCCTTAGGACCCTGCACCATTTCCCACAGTGAAATTTTGCAGATAAGTTATACAAAGGAGGCCTGGGAGATAGGTCAGTGGTCTAACGCCTGCCTGGCAAGGGCAAGGGCCTGGGTTTGATTCCCGGTATTGCATGCAGTGTCGGCTCCAGAATCCCGGGTGCACCATGCAGGCCGGCGCACTTCTGTAATCCAGCGCTGGGAACGCTGAAACAGGAGAATCACTATGAGTCCGAGCCGTAAGGAGACTCTCCCAAATACCTAAGTAAATGAATGAGTGAATAAATAAATAAACAAATAAAGAAAAAGTTTTACAAAGGATATACTCAAATGGGGCCATCAAAAGACATGATCCCAGCCTTTGTCCAGGCTCATTTGCGTTGGGATCTTGGCCCCTCAAACACCCCTCCTCCTCTGTGGCCTTTGGATGCCATAAGGCTTCCACATCCTCTAAAAAGAATGTCAGAAATTCACCTTCCCAGTGAGAGGGCCGAATCGTGTACCTCGAAGGCCTGACTGTGACACCTGTGGTCCCAGGGGAGAGCCTCTTCCACAGCCCAAGGCCTTACACGAGGCTGTACCTTCCTGTTTTGGGCCCTGAGCTCTTGGCTTTCACGCCTTTTGTTTCCTCTTCCTACTCCTCCTAATTTCCCTGAGCCCGAGACTAATTTCTTCATTAGGGTGCAGAAACCCTGGTCTGTCAGACCCACATGTATTCTTTGCAAGTATTTCTTTTTCTTTCTTTTCTTTTCTTTTTTTTTTTCCTTTGGCGGAACTGGAGATTGAACTCAGGCCCTTGCACTTGCCAGGGAAGCCCTTATTCCACTGAGCCATCTCCCCAGCCCTGCAAGTATTTCTGTTGATGAATTATTACTTTAATTTTATGAGTTTTTATTATATTAATGAGTACTTAACAGGCAAAACCCCACAAAATCAGGCACTAATTTTAATATATATTGTTTGTAAAAATACATCAAAATTTTAAACATTGACTGCTTTTTGGTGTACAAAGTCTAAAAACAAAAATACATTCTCATATGAACTGAAATGAAAATACCAATAGCACTTTACAAAAAGAAAATCTTTTCTTCAATTACCTAAGGCAGTCTGCACCTGTGACAATGGCATGTTCTGTATGCGCGTATCGCTGACATTGCAACACATATATTTGTTTTCTGCTTAGGATCAAGTAAAACACAACCACTGGCCCATGCTATATGTTTGAAGAGACATGATAATTGCTTCACGACTCATCAACAATGTCTACTCCACCTTCAGTTTTTTTTTTTAAATTTATTTATTTGTGTGTGTGTGTGTGTGTGTGTGTGTGTGTGTGGCCAGCTCAGCCCACCAGGGGGCGGGGCAGGCTGGCATGTGGTGCTGGGGGATCGAACCGTGGTCCCTGTGCTTTGCTAAGCTTGTTCTAAGTAGGTGCTTTAGACCACTGAGCCATCTCACCAGCCCCCACCTTCAGTTTTGTTGTAGAAAGTTTCCACGTCAGCCTTCCATCTTGTCCAGGTTTCCCTATCAGTATTCCTGTTGTGGCGAAATGTTGACATTAGCAGCACTAGTTTGTTTTTCTTTGCCGGTTAAGAAGCCAATGCATTTTTCTGAAATCCAAAGATTGTACTATATGATTCCGTTTTGAAATTGAAATGCTTCATTTGGAATTTCTGCTTTGTTTCTGTGTACAGTTTTTGTCCTGGTTACCCTATGCTCTGTGCTGTTACCGATTGTCAAATGTCACATTCTGATTAGTTTCAGAGATGGGAGCAACAAGTCTGTTCACAGCATCATTTGCTTTATTCCTACAGGAATAAGGTCCTGATGGCTGAATTTTAGGATAAATATCTAACTGAAACCATAATAAGTCTTTGCATCTACAGGGCATACATTTTTATGCCATATTGTGACCCATCACTTTCCCATAACTCTTTTGCATTTCAGTGAGCATAATGAGAATTCTGTGGTAAGGACAGCTTTCTGTTCAGGCAGTAAGGTGTTGTAATGAATACATTTTTGAATATGCCTGTTGGTGCGCGTAGAATGTCTTACTTTCATTTCACCCATTGCGTATTTCATGGCATCTTATAGCATTTTGTCTGTTATGATTTCCAACACTGAATGGCTGTGCTGGCATTCTATCCAACACCTTTCACCCCTGCTAGGACGCTCACTGTATTTGGCTCTACATTGGATGGTTCCATTTAGTTGGGTAGCCACTTTGCAACATATTGACTAGTCCAAATGTACTTACATTGCTGTTTTGTCATCTGAATCAAGGAAGTCTGCATTCCCTGTGTCTGTGTCCGTAGATTCTTGCTCCATTTCACTGTCACAGGAACTGTGGCTCCCATGGCCCATGGCAGAGTCATTATCATCATCTTCATTGTTATTATCACCATCCACTCACAGCACTCTTCTGTTATGAAAGCATGTATTTTACCAAAATAGGTCATCTTCATCATCCATGCATGAGAAATCTCATGAGTCACTTTTTTTTTTTCATGATTCACTTTTGACCTCCTCTAAAACTTACAAATCTGGTTTTTCATGTGCTATTTTACTAAATCAGGCTACTTTAAAAAACATCCTAGAGTGGTGTGGGTCTATTGGGCCCTTTGTGATGCTCACATAAGCTTCTATGGAGCACAAAGGTGCATATAAATCCCATTTTCCCACTTTTACATACAAGCACACATCTTGCCACTGGTCATAGCAAGTGGGTAAACATATAAATTGCTTCCGTAGCCCAGTGCACAACTGGCTACTATAATAATAAAGTATAAGTTTATAGTAGAAAAGGGGATGAATATGCAAAGCCTACTTTCATGATTAAATAAACTTATTTTTGTTAATTATTCTGAATGCCCTGCTCAATTCTTTGTTTAGGTTACCCATTACCTGTAAACAACTCCCCTGGGATGGCCCCCTCCATACAATAACAACTCCATTCAAGGTGAGTTATTCCTCATTAATTGTTTGGAACCAATGTTATCCAGTAGAACTGGGAGGCATGGAAGGGGCAGTTCTTGGCCTTTGGTGTGTTGAAAGCTCAGTACTTGGGAGGTAGAAAGAAGAAAAAGTAGGCATATATAATACTTCAATGAAAACATCTAATAAATTAGAACAAGGCATCCATCCTGAGATAAGATTAAGATTTTCCTGGTTTAGGAACAGGATATCAAGCAGCACTTTTGGAATAGAAAAGGGTAACTATTTAGGAATTTAGAAAGGGGATAGACTGGAGGATGGAAATAGTGCGAAGGTCTAGCTAGGATGAAGGCAATCTTGCTCTTTTTCTTCAATGGAACCTCAGGGAGGTTGTGAAACTTCAAGTGGTTTGTGACGTCTGAGCAGATGGTACGGAAGGTCTAAATGCCCATAGAGTTTCATATCAGATGCTGAGAGGGTAAAACAGTAGAGTAGTGCTAGATTCCTGAGAAGGCTCAGAAATAACTTGTGGATTGAGATGTTGAAGAAAAAGCAGGAGCAATATTATGAATAGAGTTAAGAAGATGACCTTATGAGTGGTATTGTCTGGGTCTGACATGTCCTCCAAAGTTCTATGTTATAAAATCTTGCTCAGCCATCCCTTATTGGTCCTAGTAAAAGGAAAGACCTAGCTGAAGGAAGGGGGTGCTAGACTAAGCTGCGGCAACAAAACAGTAACAAAAGCAGATCTCAGTGGTTCAAACAGCAAAGACTCTCTTCTCTTTCTTGCCACATGGCTATTGCTGTGCTTTGTACCTACTGAAGACCAGCTGAAGAGTCTCATCAGTGCCGTTCTTGCCTAGGGTCCTGATGGACATTTTCCAGCTTCTGTGACAGAAAGAAAGATAAAAAAAAAGAAAGAAAGAAAGAAAGAAAGAAAGAAAGAAAGAAAGAAAGAACAAAGACAGGCATGAACTGGCACTTAAAATTTCTGGAAATGCTACTTGCTTACATGTTTCATTTGCCAAAACAAAACCATTGGCCACACTGAACTTCAGAGTGTGGGGAAAATGTACCCCTCTTGTGTGTTTCAAAGAAGGAAGGCAGGATCTTTGCAAACAATCCTAATGGCTAACCACCACAGCCACCCAAGTGCAGTGCTTTAGAATTAAGAAGTGACTAATGCATATTATTTAGGTATTAGAGAGACAGTAATTAATTGGTCTAGTTGTCTAACACCTGGCAGAATGGGGGGTCTGAAATAAAAATTAAGTTCATACATAAAGTTAAATTTTGAGTAATTTGTATTTGTGTTCCATTTTCCCTGTTTTAAGGCTCAAGCCTAGGGCCTTAAGCATGCTAGGCAAGTACTGTGTCATTGACCTACATTCTAAGCTGG